ATTCACACCCTTGGGGATGTAGATGGAGTTGGTCAGCTCGTTAATGTCCTTCAGCGGACGCTGGATACCGTCGAAAATGCTGCCCATGATACCGGGACCCAGCTCAACGGACAGGGGCTTGCCTGTGCGCAGCACGGGATCGCCGACAGTCACGCCGGAGGTCTCCTCGTACACCTGAATGGTGGCCATGTCACCCTCCAGACGGATGATCTCGCCCACCAGCTCGTAGTAGCCGACGCGCACCAGCTCGTACATAGCAGAGCCGGACATGCACTCGGCGGTAACCACTGTGAATTGGAGGTTAGGAGGTTAGGTATCGGCTGGAGGTGTAATTCTTCTGGTTACTTACCAGGACCCGAGACAGCGAAGACACGTCCATATTTGGACTCACGCTCCTCCTCATCGAAACGTTTCAGATTGGACATTTTGCTTTATTTTGGTTCTACAACTGAAAAAAAGAGACATGCATTGTAAGCGCTGAACGAAAGATAAAATTGAAAATTTCTTATCACTAATTGTGGGCTGGCTGGCTGGCCCTTTTGTCAGCTGACAAAATCAAGTGGGAAGGGGGAACGTGTAACATTTTAATCCAAAATACACACTTTTTTTCACGCAATTCTACAGGTTATATTTAAGGTAGTTCTTAATCTGCAACTTAACGACAAGTGTTTTTAGTTTTTTTTCCGTTTCTACGCGTAACTCCCTCCCACAAAAAAAATTATGCTCGAGCAGAGCTTTCGTTTCACGTGACAGAGCTTTGCGCAAGTTCGAAAATTATATTTTTAATACCCGCTCTCAGAGTCGGCTGTCCAACTGTGAAAACTCTCGACTGTGGAATGAAAAACACACGCTAATTGAAAATCAAACTGCATCTGTTATACTGATGGTTGTTTCAAAGTATTTTCATTTGAATATGAATTTATATGCGGGTTTCGTTTATCTGGAGAGCGAGAGAGCAAGAGTGAAATCAGAGAGCGCAACTCTCTGACAACTCTCGCGCTCATCGGCTCTCCCTCTCTCCATTCGAGCTCGAATATTTGACAATTGGCTTTGACGTTGATCACAAGACTACTGTCATTGGCGTCAGCTGACAAATGGAAAAAGTAAGTCGGTAAAAAAAACGCAACTTGTGGATCGTACTGCGCTGCAATGTCAAACCACCATATTGAATTTTTGATCGTATTCAACCAATCTGTCCCTCTTTTATGTGTATGTTGGTAACTCCCACCCAACTCTATGTGTGGGGCGGGCTAACATGGATCACAAGACCCGAAGTGCGACAGAGAGGGGCAGAGGCGCAGCCAGTGGCTGAGCACGCGCGAGGGGAGGGTCAGCTGACAAGGCAAAATATTTTTCCACGCGCAATATTATCTTATAGCTTTAAACCGCACTTTTTCCATTTCCCGCATTTCCACTTGTCTTTGCACTTCATTTTCGGCTTCTTTTCGCTGCACTTATTATCTAACACACATGCAGAGAATATCTGCAAGTTTTTTCTGTTTGCTTTCAGCTCTGCTTCGTCACTTTTTCAGCTGAGATTTTTCAAGGCAAAATTTTTTTGCATCAGTCGGGCTTTCGTTGTAACATAATAAACCTCGCATTTAGTTAATATTTCGTTTGCTTTCTTTTTCCTCTGAGTTCTGTTTTTTCTTCTCCCTGCTGGCTGATGGTGGGGGGGCTTACTTTACTGTGTCTTCACGTTCACCTTGCGAACGAGTTGTGTGTGCTGCTCGAACTGAAAAATGGAAACCGACTGAGCAACGTCAACGCTCGAACTTCGAAAAGTTTAGAGCAGAGCGCGCATGATGAAATTATGCAGGGTGGTCCGAAAAGAGAGCTAGCGCGGTTTGAGTAAACCCACCTTGTGTAGCGTCATCATGATCGCGAGCTTTCAAACCGAAAGCTTGTGAGTGCGAGTTTGTGAGCGCTGATCTCAAATCATGTGAGCGTCGAAAAGAGAGAGAGCTGGAGAGAGTCTGAGCATGGTCACACTAGCTTGAAGAACTTCGTGGGCTGATAATAAAGAATGAGAAGTACACGCATGCATGTACATACATACATATGTACATATGTTGTCTTCTATTCTATTTTGGTTAATATCTATTATCTTAGCCGACAAATCCAAATGCTCTGCAGAAATCATATGATCACATACGGAAAATAAAACTAACAACAATTTTGTAATTGTGCTGAGTATTCTCTAAATTCTTTTAAGGAAACAATTTTCTTGTATAATACCCATAATCACTAATCAAACAACACATAAACACAAAAAAGTGACCTGCAACTATTTGATTTATGATAGTATACACATGATGATGCACACGCGGAGATTGGTAGATATTGGCAGACACACACTTTCAGATTTCAGATTTAAAGCAAATTGTTTACGTCTCACCACTCAGCAGAAATAAACAAAATATAAATTGTACAAAATTCGACCACAAAAAAACATAAAATATGTACACAAGTATGTATGCATTTTTGTATGTACATGTGTACATACATACATATGTAAGTACATATGGGCAACTGCTGAACGTTTGTACGCATTGCAAGCGGTAGAACGGTTAAAAGAGGAAGGATTACCATTAACCATTACCATTAATAAATTATTTTACCATTATGATACACCTCTTGACGTCTTGTGTGGTGTTACATTTTGGAGAGACCATTCGTTTTTGAGACTTTTGCAAGAAACCAAGCGATTCACACGGGACAACTACAGATGCGGTTTTCGCAGTTACCTCAAAAGTGTACCCCTGCTTATTTTAATAGGTTTTTAAGTTATAGACCTATATTGTTGATTAGCCACGGTTCAATTAAATAAGAGAAGAAGAGTTACATGGAAATGTCTTTTTTTTACATTTAATTGTTTTGCCTTTTTCGACCTTGTCTCAGAAGTGCACTTTTGTGAATATTTTTTCCTAGTGATTCATAAACACAGCGCAAACAAATGAGCGGCCTCGTATAAAGCGTATAAAAACAAAATGCTGTTGGTTCGAACCCTGATTGGGACAAGCAACAAGTGTGGAATATTTTCTAAGCTTATCTTCTTTTTTTTTTCTTTTTCATACATGGAATAAAATAATTCCTTTAAGGGATGTTTAAAAACAATGTCAGATATTCAGATTATTGTTAAATGCACATCTACTGCTTGCTTAACCGGTATATTGGCTCAGAGCAAGAGCCGAATTGCAACCACATATTCTCTCTCAGCAGCGCAGCGCTCTCTGATCAAGTAGAGCACAAACAAATCACAGCCACCACCAATTGTGGCACTTGCAACAAGCGGCTTGCTCTCTCCGTTTTCTACTGCTTTGTTCGCCCTTATAATTCCCAAGCACTTATTCTCAAGAAAGTGAATATAAATAGCGCTGGCTGGCTGCTTCCAAAGGCGGTCGGCGCCTCACAGTTCTAAAGGGTTGGCCACATCCCTGACTAATTGTGGCAAAAACAAACGACGGATGGAAGAGGAAGAATTGTCTTCAAATTGTCAAAAATCAGAGAATTGCGATAATGTTTGAAAACATATACGTGAAACGGCGAATGCATGGTTTTAGAAGTGCTTTACGTTGTGAATTGGTCCAAGGAAAACGCTTAAAAAAGAAAGGTTTGTCCGACGACATCTTGTGCTGCGACTAAACATGGTTTAGTGCACACGCCCAAATACAGTGCGCGATCAGACGATCCCACTAACAGCCACTATCCCCTCGGATAGCAAAAATAAATGGCTTTCCCGGTCAATACCGGGGAAAGTTGGAATTTGCCAATCCAAGAATGTGATTCCCCACATCATCCTATGACGACGAAGCGCCACGTTCTTCGTCATGGGTGTGGTGATGATCAAAAACCCAAAACAAGCAAAAAATACAAAAAAAAATAAACAAAACCGAACTGTGAGGTCGGAGGAACTGAGGAATGCATGCCTCGCTCCTCTTTGATCGCTTTTTGCCCTTTTACTACAAGAACTACGCATAAGGAAGGAAAGCTACACTCATTCACCAAAATGTATCATTAACAGAAATTCATTTTAAATATGATGGTAACATTGTCTCCAACAATTTCTTGTGCTGAATGTAATAAAAAAGCAACATAATATTGTATGCAAAGCGAATGCACTTATAATCAATACTTATTTATTTTGTTCAATTATAACTGAATAAATTGTATTTTTACGCTTAATTCCTTGAAATTGTATGTTGTAAAATCGTTAAATGCTACAAATGAAAATTCCAATTAATTAATTAAACAAGCTATTAGTTTACCATTTAAATGCACTGAAATGAAATTTTCAATTAATCAATTCATGTTAATTGCCCGAGCGAGGGTTGCCCCATAAACCGGATAGGGTTTTAAGAATTCTGCAAAATGTTATTTTATTCTCTTTTTTGGATATTCAATAACAAATCGAACACACTTCGCTGATGGTCCGCCGTTGCAGATGAGGCTGCGCCTGAAAAAACTTTGATTACAATTCGCATTGTAAAAAGATATTTACCCAATGATTTACATTTTTTTGCTGCCATCCATTCCGTTACCCTGCTCTCCTGCTTTCCTGCTGCTGCTGTTCTAGTAACGTTTCGAGTTTTTCCGCTCTTTTTTTCAGCTTGGAAGCAATCAGTGGGGCAGAGCAGGACGAATGGACAAAGAACGAGGATAAAGGTCAGATCAGGTCGAAACTAAGAATGCCCTCTGGCTTTTTATAAGTTAATCGTTTCGGATAGTGAAATAAATGTAATAATTTGTAATAAATATGACATAATGGCATATCTTTAAATTAGTCAATTGTAGCGGCATAACACTGCCTTGGCAGGTCCCTTAATTCAAATCATAAATTACCGAAGTGACCTATATAATCGGTTTAATACTATCTTTAGAATGTACATTCACTTGGGATCTATTCGCACAATAAAACAACTAAAATACACACAATATTGCACATATAAATAAGTGAATATAATCCAATATAATACAAAATTATTTGATTTATAAAATATTTTTTAATTTGGTTTATTATGGGCTTGGATATGGGATATAGTTTTGACTAATGGGTTCATGACTATTGTATGCATCTAGAAATAATATGGGCCAAAAATATTTGACTATTGAATTTACAAATTTTTCTGTTTGATTTGTGGTTGGTCCTTGGTCGCTTTTGCTGATCTAATGGTGGAAAAATTTGCTTACAAAATAGTTGATTGATGAATAATCTCTAACATTATATACCTCTGTTACAAAATTACAGCCCATTTAATCTCTTCGAGAACGTTTTTGGTCGGGAGCTAGTGATTCAATCGTTTTGATTAGGGCACCGTTCAGTGAGGTCCGAGTTGTCAAAGTTTCAGACTCGGAGTCTAACCCATCGCCATGCTTGCGCTTATCCGCTTGTTGTCTAATGACTTGGTCTAATGGTGGAATAAATTATAATAAGACAATACTTTTTGGATGGGTAAATGTACTTAAGTACTTACCCCCAACAATGCTACTAATCGTGGCGGGTGATTGCTGATCATTCGGAATTATTTCGGCAGCCTGGTCTGATGGTTGAAGCAATCCATGAGACGATTGTTTGATTGGAAAGACTTGAATGAATACTTACCATAATTGTTACTAGTCATGCGGGGCGCCACAGTCGTAAGTCTTTTCTCTGCCATGGTTTGTACACGGCGGGATCTTCTCGGTTGTGCCGCGGGAAGATTTTGGCGAGCGAGTTTTTGCAGTGTCAGCGCAGGTATGTGTGTTGCTTCAGAGTTTCTAGCCAGTTCGTAATACTTGAACTTTCCGTCTTCCGACATATTTTTCCACAAATAATTAGCTTTTTTTATCAGCGCCGAAGACTGCTTCAGGGTTAGACGATCTCTTCCGGCCTTCTCCAGGGCAGTCAGACGTAAATCATTGCGTAAATTTTGCAATGGCCGCGGCGAAGCAATTTGACGTAAGAACCGATCCCTCTCGTGCTGAAGTGTACTTGGTGAGAGCCGAACGCGATTCTCCTGGCTTTTCGAACCAGAAAAATAGCTAAAGAGTTTGTGTATAAAACTCATTTTAGCTTGTTGTGCGTTTGTTTGGAAGTTTTTTGTATGTTTGCAATGTAATGATGAAGTTTATTAGGTATAAAAGTCAATGCATGCTTAGGTCCAAAACGAAAGTGATATTTAATATTTATTTGCTCTTTGTAGAACTTAGCATCGAAGCACCTCCCGGATAACTCTAATTGGAAACGTTGGGGGCAGTAAGTGCAGCAACTCGGGTAAGCACAACCTCACACCACCTGAACCTCAGGCAGGGCTCAGATTGATGTTGCTAAATCTTCTGATTGAAGTCAGCAAAAGTGGCAACTACAACAGTAAACCATTGCTTACAAAGTAGTCAAACAGAGTCAAAGAGTCGCCTCTTGGATTGTTGATGGCATGAAAGATACAGAGCGGAGCGGAGGAGTGGGCTAGCTCTGGCTCTCGCTTTTTGCATAACTTATAAATCGATGACGTTGGCATGCGAGCGCATCTCGAGGCCCTCACAGTCGAGACATTTGCATAATAAGGCAGCCCCTCCTGCCACCCGTGCATGCAGCAGGAAAACTTGGCTGCAATTCACTGTGGCAGGGAGTGGAAAATTGTAGGGGCTGGGCTACGAGCATGAGTATATATGTTGCCGACGGCAGACTGCAGATGTGTGAGAGATGTAAGGATTGGAGGGTGAATTCTTTCCGGATTCTGTGTCAAAATGGCGCAGAAAAATACTCAAGTGAAGGAGCCGAACAGAAGCATCAGCTGGATCCGACGACTGCAGCGCGCTAGAGTGGAATGAATTTGACACATCGAAAGCTAAGATATGTTTTCCCTCCCACACCAATAATGATGGTGTGTTTGTGTGTGTGTGTGTGTGTGTGTGTTTGTGTAGTGGTTAAAATCTTTTCCATGTCGATTCGAACTACAGATTAATATGTGTGTCACAAATTATAAAAACTTCTTTGTTCAATTTACAAGGGAATTTTGTCAGCTCAAGGAAATTTTTACATAAATGGATATTCTGTGTTGCAATGCACCAACTTGATATGAATGTAGGTTGATAGGGTACTAGGCAAACTTACGCTATAAAATGTATCTTGTGGGGCAGAGTACTCTATTCCCGAGAGTCCGACGATGCTGCAAATGCAACTACCGACTTCGGGATCTATATCCAGTTAAATAATGGTTTTCCCGCTTGATACTAGAAGATATTTAGGTATCTCATGATCGAATAACAATTATGGCATGCAGTTGCAGTGTAATAATGTTTGTAAATATTTTATTTCTTTGTTAAGAAATTTCACCTTTTGGCCTTCCACTAATCGCGCAATGTATGGGCTTGACTATTAGGATTTTCCAACCAATTGAGTTGGTACTTAGTATAAATTGGACAAACCTTCTCTCGTTTTGTTTCAGCACTTTCAGCAATTGCAGAATATTTTCTAAATAAATATAACTCATTGATTATAGCTTTTCACACTAATAAACTGTATCTTTCTTCACCGTTGACATTTTTTCATTCAAAAAATGTTTGTTATTTGTTTTGGAAGCGCCACATGCCATAGAAATCGAACGGAATCGCATCGTATACTCGTTTCGATTCAATGGTCAGCAATTGTGTTCCCAAAAGTGTCTGCCTGCGGCGGGGTGGGTACACTCATTGAATTTTGTTCCATTTAGCATCGAATCAAATTTGAATAAAGTTTGAACTTGCTTTTGGAGTTTTACCAAAGTTCCCTTCCCCCCGTATGGAATCTCCATATTTCGTATAACTTTATTTTTGTTGGGAGATATTTTTGGACTCTCTTTCTCTCTCTCCCCCTGCTGTATACATTAAGTCATAACTTCATTTGTCTGCCATGGGCATTCATTTAGTTTATGTTTTTGAAACTCTCGCGGTGTCCTCCCGCTCCCGCTCTCTCTCTCTCTCTCTCTCTCTCTCTCTGCCATATCTTTCTCTCTATCTCAATAAATTCATTTGGGTCTGGTTACAGTGTGTACTATATACGGGTATTTGTATGGTGGGAGTGTGGTTACGGTGCCACCATCAGCAGCAGGAACAGCAGCACCGCCATTGCCATTGGCTAATCTTGTTGCGCATTGCCATAATTTTCAATTTACATGCACCCAGTGCCCCCACACCCCACCCATCCTCCCCTTCAACAGGAGGCGGCATCCTCCAGCTATCCCTGGGAGTCTCTGTTCGGGCGTTATATTGGTCACAATAAATTGACTGCAATGGGCCCCCCCCCCCAACTGTATGTATTCTCTTTGCTGTGACTGTGTGTGTCGTCCTCGGCTTCCATTCGCTTGATTATGGCCTGCAGTCAGCCCTCCCCTCCGACTCCCGGCTCCCTTCATTACACTGCAGTTGCATTAGCTCCGCCATGGCCCCCTTTAAGTGCAACATTTCGATTTGCGCCATCATTGGTCCGGGCATCCTTTGTGCCGGCCATAGCCTAATCATTGACACATTCATTGATGCATCCGAGCGCGCTGTGGCATATTTACGAGCTGTCCTAATTGCCCCCAAGCAGATGCCCCAATGGCTCCACTACACCATCCCGCGATATTGCGACACTCTCTACACCCGGCCAGTCCCAACATCCCCGAAAAGCACAAGTTTGAACCAGCGCGAGGGAGGTGCATTCCTCCAGGGTCTGTGCTTGGGGCGACATAACTTAAAGCAAAATTTACAATGGTCAGGGTAACATTTAATCATTGAATGTTTGCTAGAAAGCAACGAGGTAATGATTATATATATACCAATAACTTTGAATTTCGAAACAATCAAATATTTAATATTTTATTTTAGATTTTGTAAAAGATTTAGCCAGAAAAATCGTGATAAATTGCATTTCAATGCTTTATCTCGATTCATTTATAGAAAACATTCAATGTATAAATTTTAGCTTGAATAAATATGTATACATTTTCCTGCTAATTTTGTACATTTGAAGTCACCATTTGACCAGCCACGATACAATAAATTTGACATTTGGCTGTGTTTTTTGTTTGTAATGTGACTTAAATGTATGTTTCCGAAAATTGTTCTTACTGATCAAAAAGAAATTCCTTCAAATAATGAGCTCGAAGAACATTTTGTGCCTTACAAATAATTTACATACAAATATTAGAACAACTTTGTGCCAGCAAAAGCAAAAGCTCGTATGAAACGACAGCACTAGAATAACAGAGAAAGAGGCGGAGACAGAAGCAGAGAGAGAGAGAGAGGCAGAGGCTAACCGAAGAGCAAGCTTCTGTAAAGCTCCAGCTCCAGCAGTAGGGAGATTTTTGGTATTCGTAAACAATAAACTTCTTCACACACATGCCACAGAAAAACACACGCACACACACACACACACAGAGAGATAGGAGTACGAATGCAGAAATAAGAGAAGAGAGCGGATTAAACTAATTTGCAAGAACATTGAAAATCCTTAAAAACTGTTGCAGTGGCTACATATTTCAGACTTAAGGGAGAGACAGAGTGAAAGCAAATACTGGTGGGTGCACTGGGTAAGGTAAGCAGATTAAGGTAACATGACATTAGGGAAGACTAATGGTTCTTGTCTTGGCATGGTAGTTATGGGTAGTAGAGATATAACTATTTATGGGTACAGTGCTCTTGCTTACTGTGTTTCAATCTGCTGGAAACTCTCTGTATTTATAACTCATTCAGCACTACTCCAGCACCTTGTGGCTTATTTAATTAAAGTCTTTGTTTAACATGTAATTCAACACCTATATTTTAATGGAGTGAACGAAACGCATTTATTATTCATTACCTTGAGCCCAAATGCGATTATGGTATTTACTTGCGTGCATTTAGTCAGCTACAAATTGAAGCCGCATTGGATATATGATGTTTAATCGAAATTCATTTTCACTTGCAAAATAAATATGTGTAGGAAAACATTCAAGAATTTGCCACTGCCACAAACTAATCTATTTATTCCAAGTGCAAAGCAAAGGAAGTTTTAAACTTAGTTCTAGCAAACAAGTTGCAGCATGAACCAAAAACCCAAATTGGCATCGCTCTGCCCCCAACGAATGACTCCCATGCGTGTGTGCGAGTGTGTGGCCATGGTGCTGCTGCCACTCCATGACCTCATGCTGCAACCCATTCTCCCCTCTGCGGGTGGTGGGGCAACTGTGCAACTTGTGTATTGCGTTGCATTTCAACTTAACTGAATTATTAGTCGACTTATGTGAATTATGATCTTTTAGTGCTGATACACCAGGCTCTCCTGCATCCTCATGGCACTGCTGGAACCCCTCTTGAAGCTCTGCACTCTCAACCACTTTCGTTAATGCATTTGCCCAGTGGCCATGTGGGATTGTTGTTGTTGCTGCTGGCTGCTTGCTGCTTGCTGTTTTGTTGTTGAGGCAATTTTCCAAAAACAATAAGGAAAACCCACAGAGGAAAGCGAGAGGCAGAGCTGTGAGGTTGCGGGAATTTGAGCTGTTGACTGCTCACCTTGCAAGCTGCAACTCACCCAGAAACAGAAACACAAAACAGAACCAGCACCACCACCAGCACCAGCACCAGAACCACAGCCAGGGACCAGGACAGAGCTAAACTTTCCCCTTTTTTTCTCTGTTCTGTTGTGTTGTGGGGCTTTTTTTTTGTAGGGATTGCTCATGTTGGGATAGTTGAAGATGAAGCTCCTTCGACTGAATTCCTGGGCTGGCTCTGGAGCTTTTGTTATATTCATGCCGTTGTTATGGGTCTTTGTTGTTTGTGGCACTGCAGTTGCCAGGATCCCAGGAATACCCATGGGATGGCGCACCCGCAAACCCCACAACTCTCTCAAAACAGATTGCAGCGTAACTCATCCCTGGACACGATGGGGGCAGCTCGAAAGAAAAGACACGAGATTGAAAGGTGGGAATCCGAGTGTCGAATCTGGGAATACTCTGATTTGTGTGATAAATATATATAGCTAGAAGCTATTTAATAAGAAAAAATGTGAAAAATTCAACAAAAAATATATTCAATTAAACAGAAATTTGTTTATAGCACGATCGTACTCTCAGAAACTTCTCAAACATCTCTTACATCTCTCAATACCCGTTTTCAGAAGAGAACAAAAAGAAG